TTTTCGCATCGTTTTGTGACACGTACATGATATGCCTTGTCTCAACCCCGGCCGAAAGACTTTGCACGCCGTCGCTCTAATACAGTGGTTGGTGTACACTCGGCACAAATCTGTAGCTTTCGAAATTAGCTTCATCATCTCCTATAATTTATTTACCCATAGTGGAGAATTACAATACCATATATCGTCGTCGAATCCAGCGTTGTCCCGTGTTTTTTTTTAAACAGATGGCAATTACTGTAGAATACTAAATATTTTCGCTATTTTCGCTGAAGGGATGATTCAGTGAAAATAAAATCCAGCGAATATACTTTTTTTCCTATATTTCACATTAAACTTATCAAAAATCAGTGAAAATAAATTCCATACAAAACGCCCTAAAAGCCTTTTCAGCAAAAATTAATTCCAGCGAAAATAAAGTATTCCACAGTACCCGGGTGCACTGCAATTTTGTCAGCCGGCTGCCGCTACCGGACACTGGTTGTTATTGGTGGCATACATTTTTGCCTGTGACTCGTAGTTTTTTGCATTTTTATGTCATTAAATCCTTCAAGTTTTCTTTGTTGGAAGTTCGCAATCCATCCCAAAGTAACAACACTGAGAACACAGCGTTCTGGCATCCGTGTAGGCACCTCACGGTGTTGAGGGACGGTGGTTAGTAGGTTTGTGTGGCGAACGACAATCACCCAACGACCGACGCTCACAACTTGGACCCCACCATTAACAAAAAGCAATATTATAGTTATATAACTTTTCAGATGTTTTTAATTCAGTATTTTTTTCAATATTCTTCCAAAATTCAACGACTATATTTCCTTAAAAATCAAATAATACCGGTTTTATGTATTTCCGTATTAAATCTGTAGTCAATTCATGTTCCAGGGCCACTTAGTTTAGCCGTGCATTATCAGCCATGGATTGCATATGCAAATTTTGTGTTTGGACCAATCAAATCAATGGATTAACACCATCAATATACTGGTATAATATAATTATATTTACGTCATATTCACCAGCCCTGTAAGAACTCCTAACTTGTATAAAATATATCAGATTAATTGGTAGAGGTAGAACCATTTTTCACAGCAGTCTTCAAAATGGACGAGACCAGCATGGCTATCGGACAAAACTGAAGCCATGATTGAATCAAGTGAGCTGTTTGCTAAATTGTTGCTGGAATATTTCCCAGATAAGTTTTAATACTATAAGTATGAGGAAAAAATATTTGGGAACCAGCACACAAGAACCGCCAACAAATACCAGAAATACAATATAAATGTCAGTGTAAAGTTTGTACACTTAGTAATATGACAACAGCAACAACAAAAACAAGTTTAATTTTGCTCCATTGCACATTCAATAAATGTTAGTCATGGAGACTGAATAAAGCCATGTTTTTCTCACCTGGCAGTTTCATACTGTCTCACTGTCAGTAGAGTATCCTCCATTGTCTTGTGACAGAGAGTATTCACATTGGAGGTGAAGAAATTCAAAGCACCTAGCAACGTTTCTCCATTCTTGCATAGGCTTCTTTGAGTTTCCGAATTGTAGGTGAACTCATCTTGTAGTTCTGGTGACTTGACAGCCAGATCTGTGAATGCTTCACCTAACGCCCGCTGCGTTTGCACTACTTGATAGAAGTGATTCGTCAATGCCCGGGACAATCTAAGTATATTCGCATATTTCCTCTGAGTGTCACGAAGGACTTCTATCTGCGCTTCCAACTGTAGATCCACCGTTCGGGACCCACGACCTAATTTCTCAGAAATCATCTGCCGAGTACACTTATATGTGGATACGCTCCACGTCTTTATGGCATCTATTTTGGATTTGGAATTTTCTAAGAATCGCTGACTTCCTGTGCCTCCTGGACCAGTAGTCATAGCTCCATGCCCAGTGCTCATGCCTCCAGCGCTATAACCCTCATGGGTGCTACCACCATATACATTTCCACTTGTTGAATGTTGTGCTATTTGTAGAAAGAAAGAAAATGTAACTGAATGAGAGATACAAATGCATTTTGAATAACCATCCAGTCACTGAATGACTAACACAGTATAAAATTTAATTAATGACCCTCATTTACCATTGTACATTGTATGAGCCTGGGTGTCTTTTCATTGGTACAATTAAAGTGAGGTGGTTGTCATGCAGTATGTGTTCAAATTTCATGTAAAGAAACAATGCATTTAACACGCGCTATGTATGTCACTATTGGTTTCATATCGAACAGGTCACAGTACGGCAACCATCGCCCTTTAACAATTACCAAGTATATGCATTACGAAAAATGGCATCTAAATGAATTGCAATATTCTCTCCTACTGTTACACTAAAAATACATTTCCAAAAGAAGCGAAAAAAGTGAGGGTAAACATCCATATACATTGCTGGGAAAATTACATGTGGTTTTAAAGTGTCTTGTACAAACAGGTGTTTTTTTTTTATATCTAACAAAACCTATTTGATACCTGTGGAAATGCAAAAATCATGGACGAATTACTAAACTGTACATAGGTGAGTGCACTCGACTTCTCTTTAGGTTCACACACACACACACACTTGTAAAATCATTTCATCAAATACAAAAAAACAAGTGCAAGCATGTAAGTACATATTCAGAAGCACATACTTTGGAAACTGCCATTGTCTTCTACGATAGCCAGGAGCATTCAATATGGAAAGGAAATTCAATGTGGATAAAAGATTAGTTGCATTCAAAGTTTGGTGATATGTCGCAATGCCAGGCAATGAAGCCAAATGGTACTGCATATTAAACACACAATATTAAGTCTGTCATGAAATTAGGGGATGCGGATAATAAACTACTGGATATAGTAATATTAGTTGAACTTAAATTGGCATGAGAAACTTAAATTTATTTTTCATGCAGGTGATTCTGATTGTTAGCTAGTAATGAACTTGAGGTACAAGTATGGTTGTTACTGTTTAGGATTCCTGTATAAAAAGACACACGTTGTGTTAAGAAATGTTATGTATTTATTTATCACTATTTTGATTATCTATGCATTTTTTTCACAATGGACAACCAAGATGATGATAAATGTTATTGTTTCTTACAATTACAAGTAACATGCACTGTGAAGTGTAATAAACAGATTCATACAATGTACATTCAAATTTTTCCCGAAGGTCCATTGTTCCAACCCTGGTATGACTCCAAGGTCGAACAAAGAAAAATCTATGAAGTTTTCGCTTGATATCGCATGATTAGCAATCAGAATAATTATCATAATATGGAAAATTTAGACAATTTAATGAGTAACATGTATATAAGACGTTATATTAAACTGGCCATGAAGTGAACTCTATATGTGAGATACAATGGATGTTGTAAGATTAGAACAATTGTTCATCTATTTTAATTCATAATATTCTCGATTACTGACACACTACAATCCTAACATATTCACACATAGAAATAATGTCTAGACTGGAGACAAACGTCTGCAAGTACGTACTTACAAAACTTTGAAACAAAGTATCCAGTATTCAGCTGTTCTGACCTTACATCATCCTGAGCAATCTCAAAGACAAAATTTTGGTGGTTTTCACTAATTGTAGAGAAGACCACTATCAAGCAAATACATCTTTATATTAATGTGATGCTCAGCTCAGTTACAAAGTTCCTGTAAATTTATATGCAGACTGTTTGTTTGTTTGTTTGTTTGTGTATATATAATACGTGGATGGTATTTGTTTGGTAGTGATATTGCTTACCAGTACAACTGTGACAGACTTAAAATCATTGGCGCAGTACCACAAGTCTATTATTAGTTTTATGCATTAAAAATCAATGAAATGTAATGACACTTCAGCTCCTTGGTATTTTGCTGACTGCTCAGTACATGTACATGTATGACCGCCTCTCATTATGCAATTTCAGGTAACAAATATGGAACAGATGTACTGCCAGGTTCTGAGAGATGGCAACTTTGTAGTAATCAGTCAAGTGCTGAGTATGGAGAGGCAATGTATACTGCACCATGTGAGGGCGCTGTATAAAATGACAGTACCCCGGTACATGTATGTGGGCTAACAAAATCACAAGGCAGCCTAGTGTAATTTAGAGTGTTTGAAACCTTGAATGCGTGTAGAGTAGATAGAATGATGGTTTAAAAGGAGAGAAAAGGAGAGTAGCAGGATTTTTATCAGGGTGGTGTAGGCCTAGCCACAGTTAGCAGTACATATAGAGGCTTTCTGAGTAGCACAGCTCCCATGGACGAATGTTGGCAACACAGTGACACAACATGCACATACGGTTATGTTAGATACAACACTAATAATAATACATGTACAAACAACAACAAGCACACAATTTGTAAACTAAAACCTGTACTTGGAGAATCTATGTAAATGTAATTCACAAGAAGTTACAAGAATCCTATGCGCTACGAGTGATGGAATTTAAGAAGTAGTACTGTACTAGAGTTTTTAAAATATAAACAAAAGAAGAAACCTGAATAACATTGATATTTTTAAACTTATGTCTTCAGTGTTTTTCCCAGGCAAATGCCCATGCATAGGGCTACATTGTATATTAAAGCAACCTAATTTGCATATACCGATAGTTTTTACAATAGAAACAATTTACTTATGTTGCTTGGCAATTCTGTCGCTAATGCAAAACCATATAAAGGTTAAAAAACCTGGTGAGAACACTGGACCTGACCGATCTGGATTACATGTTTTCAATGCTATTTTTTAGCTGATCATGCTACATTGCATAAAACATTTTCTACTGAATCTACTAGTAGTCTATTTTTACCATGTCTTCATTTTTACAGTTTCAAGAGCTTATTCTAGACCTACCAACACAATATATTCATTCTGATTACAAGTTATGCAATTAATTTTGGTCTGATGATAATAGTACTTGTACATTCAACACAGTTAAAACTACTCTCTAAAAATAAAATATGCACTATAAATCTAAAAATTAAATATCTTCTTCATGCAAATCTGTAATATCAATTACCTACATGTATCTACATTTGAATAGTGTTTCCTATGTTTCCATGCCAGTTAAACTGACTTGTGTATAAAAAAAAAAATGACGTTGTCCAAGTACACGAGCAAAATAATAATGAACTACAGATACACAAACACATGAATGCACAAGAGAAATACTGATGAGAGAATCAGTCAGCCAGCTAAGCTCTGAAAAACTATAAGATGCCACTGTTTACAATATGACTATGTACCTGTACCACCCTGTAGATTGGCTAAACGACTGGCGGCAGCGTCGCTGGGGACAACTGTGGGAGGTGTGATAGGGATAGTAGTTCTAGGAGGGCTAGTTAGGTCAATACCAGTAAACTGACCACTGGGTGATTGGATCGCGCCACCCTGCACTGTTGACGAACTGTCAGTCAGGTTTGGTCCATCTCGCAACATGTTCTTCAAGTCCTGTTCAAATGTATCGTCTGTTTCCGTGCCGTTTGGTGCCTCGCCGTGATCAATGTGAACATTGGAATATCCTAAGTCTGACATCATCGATTAACGCCTATAGAAAACACACATGAAAAAAAAAATAATGTAAGAAATAAATTTCATTCTGGAACATAAAATGTTCTAATATTACAAGGTTATGACGAGAATACCCCAAAGTATGCATGAAGACAGTAGTATGGTGATCGTATCGACCATCGCATAATTTAATGAGCAATGGCAAATGTTTGTGTTCAGAGACAGGATTCTATTTCCATCACACGCTGATAGCGCTTCTGTGCCTGAAGTAAACAGAGGAAAGTGTTTGAATGTGAGGTAAACACGACACACAATTACCATAAAGAAGGCATCCATAATTTTACGGACGGGTAAATTCTATTGTTTTCAATGTCAAATTTATACTAATATTAAATTTGAATTAAATCAAGAGAAAAAGTATCTTCATGAGCCAAGTATGGTTTGCACATCAAACATAAACTGTTTATTCCATATCAGAATCACTACCTAGATATAGCAATATGGGTTGATGACATGCAGGGGTTTTTCTAGAAAAACAAGAACAAGAAAGAGCACACACAGGCGAGGGAGTTGAGCGAGAGTAGCTAGCACAGAAACAACATGGCGGATCAACATGGAAACGCCATAACGGAAGGTTTCTGCTCCATGTTAACGGTGTATACATCGCCATTAAAATATTTTGGGGGTAATTTTAGTGTATTTGGTGTCCAGACACATTGTCAGCTGGGGTTGCTGGGAGGTTTTCACAGAGAAAGATTTACTGTCGTATGGCAGCACAGAAGTACATGGCGCAAAAAATATATTTATGACTTTTAAAGTTCAATCGGTAATTCGGTGAGAGGGTACCAGCTGCGAGTATCAGGGCGCTGCACCCCTGTTCCCTGGTTTAGAAAAAACCCTGACATGAATTCCACACGTTTGTTTGATGAGATGCATTTCAAGGTTTACAACAGCACACATCATCATTGCCACCTTGCTTTTTATGTACATGTATCTCACTGATCCAGCCGAATAAATTACATACAGGTTATATTTATCTTAATCAAGTACATATTTATGATCAAGGCAAATCTGACCTCGTTTTACTATGGTAACTCCACTTCACGTATGCATACATGTACATGACAGACTGCTACATACAATGCATGTTGTGCATGTATCAGTAGCAGTACATTGAAATTAACCTTTTTACCACAAGATTCTCACCCAAATTTTTCTGAACTTTTCTTATATTCTTCATAATTTCTGGAAATAAACCATAATTTTGGAGCCAACAAACAAATTTGAGTCAATTTTCAGTTTCTACTTAAAAAACTTGGTTATTTTTGTCTTGATCCTTTGAAGTAAAGTGCAGACTATGAACTGGACTATTTTGTGGGTTTGTGATGAAAAGAGGGAACTGGTGAAAAGGTTAAACAACTAAAAGTTAGATGCATCTCAATTTGACAGTGATTTTTAAAAACAGTTACATTGTAGATATCCTGTTTAGAGCAATATTGCTATTTCATAAACAAAAACGCCAGCAACATCGCAACCATACTTGGCGGGTTGCTTTGTCTGCCAAAGTAATGGTGCAGTACACAGACAGACATCCTGTGACACTGTATGTGTGACACTGTATGTATGACACATGTACTGTACTTTGAAATCACTAAGAAGCATCCACCATTGTGTGACAGCAGCTGCTGGTGTACTCTACTTTGGAATTAAAATGGATCAATGTAATACATGTAACATGTTAAAAAAAAAAAGATTGAACTACATCACATAAGTTATTGATGTGTCTATCTCAAAGAATCAAGCGATTTAATTCAGTATTATAATAATATGAATATAATAAGAAAAAGATTCTATTCACACACCAAGGCTTTTGTAGAATTATTAATTACCGGTAAATAAGGAATATAGATAAAATCTTGACAAAAAGTGCTTTATTTCATTTTTTTCACATAATATCAATTACAAAAGCAATCACTGTTCATGTTTTTAGGGATGCCAATTTCCAAAGATATAGAATAAAAATCTAATCTGATGTGCACATGTACTACATGTGTAAAGCAATTATATGACATCACGTAATGTTGAGAAATAAACAGCTTATTAAAAAAGATAATACAAGGTACAATTGAAATTCGGCATTTAAAGATCTCTAGTCATAATTACTCTTTATTATTTGAAAACATATATAACTTGCCCTATTGTTTTGTTTTTTTGTCTGTTTTTTTTTACTGTATTCTGTCTGTAGTGTTATGTATATCTTAATTTATTGAAGCAATACAAAATAAAATAATATTAGGACACAAACTGACACGCTTTTGAATTGACAGATCAAGTAATAGTGAGCAAATGAGCTGTACGTTTTTTGTTTTTTTTTCACAGGGACAATCTGGCATGTCTACATCCTATTCAGAACAAAAAGCTATGCAGTGAGTCAATTAAACAGACTAGCATAGAAGAGAGTTGTTTTTTTATTCAGGAAACAATTTAATGTGTGAAAATCAAATTGTAGCAAGTACACTTACAGCACCTGTTTGGACACTGAGAGCAACTGATAAATGCCAGGTTAACCAGACAGTGCAATGAGAACAAGATCGAAGAGAATGTGCATAACAAAGCAGTAAACAGCATGTCCCAATTGTACAGTAAACATATTAATTATTCACTGGGTTTTAAATTTGCGGCTTTTGATAAGTGAAATCCACTTGAGCATGTAAAATCACAACCCATCGTTTCATTGAGAAATCTTAAGAAAAATAAACCTCAGCGAATATGATCAAAATATTCCAATTAAAATCTAAAAATGAATGCTTTTACAGTACATTTATTTTATTAACTACACTGTAAATATGTAAGGATTGAAGTCAATTTTTATATGCAGCCAATATTCAAATTCATTTGAAATTTAGGTGATTCCTGGATAAGGTTAGATGATTGCGCCGCTTACATTTGAACATCTGCTCGCAATTTTTAGTCCAATTTAAAATACACGATTTCCACTTTTTAAATGTGCATCAGTGATTTCACAGGTGACAGTGATACCCATTTTCTATACCCAAGTGGCTTCAGGGCACAGACGGGTTTTCAACTGACATGGTTCTTTGTATCTAGAACATCTTTTAAGACTGAATAATTTACTTTTACCAAAATAATATTAAATACATGTGTTTGTCAATGAATATATTATTATTATATTTCTTATATTGTTACTTTTTAAATGAACTTCTCCATACATGTAGAGCACAGAATTTTGTTTTGTACAAGTCAAATATAAATTATACAAAACCTTGTTCTTGTTCCCATATAAGGATGACATAGTTTCTTTGTATCATGAAGGGATAGAGGGATCAATATTATTGTAAAATGCTTAATCATTCACTTGGATTTGTTTTTAATGCCACATGTAGCTACATCTTAATGAACCTGATGAAAACCAGGGAAATATATAAACAAGCAGCCTGTCGGCTGAGATAGCTCCGCTGTAAGCAATGCACATGGCAATTAAAGAACAGAAGATATCATTAGAAAATGAACAAATCTGAGAGAGGTCCACATGTAGTACCTATATGTATAATATATCAAAGTAATTGGACTTGCGGTTTTCAACAAGAAGTCGAAAATATCACTTTTTACCAAAAATTACATTGAAGATATCATCATGAAATGAACAAATCTGAGAGAGGTCTACCCAAGGTACATATACACCAAGTATCAAAGCATTCAGGCTTGTAGTTTTCAAGAAGAAGTCGAAAAAGTAAAACATTGACACGGACGACGGACAATCACTCATATGATAAGCTCCGCTCGACAAAGTCGACAGCGGAGCTAAAAAAAAGAATCACAGAATGCCTTTTTTTTTTTTTATGGTACCATGGTTTCCTTAACAAATCAGTGAATTTGACACATACACCGTAGAATACTTGAATATCGATCAAATCAGCTAAAACTAAAGAAAGTGAAATATTATGGTGTTTCCATGGCCATGAGCCTGTATAACATTTCTTGTTGAATTTGTTGATGGTTGAACATCAAGGCATTGCCCCAGACAGAGTGACTACATACCATTTTGAAGCGATTTAAACAACACAGATCCCCATAATCACATTATTGTTATCCAGCCATTTATACAAATATAGGATTGGTCATGTTCAAAAAATGCCTGAATCATGTGAAATTTCTTGTTAAGGAATTGATAACAATATACATGTACAAACATTATACTACATACTCTGCCTACCACACATTGCACTCGGAGAGAATTTCATTATTTTGTCAGTTTTAAAATTTAAATTCTAGACATCTTAATCGTTGGTCAAATGAATAATTTACACATTTCTCAAAACATTTTTGCTAGTATTTTTAAAAGAATTTTTTTTTCTGTGAATGAAATCATCTCCTTCAAACATTTAAATATAATAATGCATAAGAAAATAAAATACAAATTGTTTAAAAACGTCAGGATGTAGTTTAAAAGGTTATTATTTTCATCTAGCAATATTACATACATGTATATATGAAACCTGAGATTGAACAGAAGCAGTAAGGTTAGACAATATTAACAATCACAAGGCTGTGGCACATGAAGTGATTTCATGTGCAAATGGGCAACAACCATGCGACTTGTATGAACCTTCATATGATGCAACATTTATATGTAATAAATCACTTTTATATTGTATAATTATATTTTTATGATTCTAATATTTGACAGCTGTTGGAATCTTACAATAACTACTTTTCACAAATCATACATAATATGATGCTACTCATGAATTGAAATACAAAACATCATTATTTACAACGTACCATATTCACTCAGAAATTTGATAAATCGCTGAGGTGTCAACACACTGTCTATATGAGTAAAAACAAGTGATATTTTAATGATCCAGAATACATTAAATGCTATTAATAATAAAGCAAATATGGTTCATGTCATTTTTTTTATCTGTTATTATGTTTTTGTGCCTGGGGACAGTTCCCAACAGTAATCGGTACACTGGCTGCTCCATTTACATGATTAATGCGCAAAATCTGAGC